AATTTTAGAAGCCAAAAAGGAAAACCTTTTTGGATTAGTTTATACAGGAGGCCCGCGAGCCACACCTTGTCAAAGGCTTTTGAGACATCCAATAGCAAGATGCCAGTACTCATGCTGGGGGTGAACCCTCTGGTTACATGTTCCACCAACCTGACTGCCTGGGGCTCGGTGCTATGCTCGGACCGAACACCGAATTGAAGGTCAGGAATCACGTGGTGCTTTGACGAAAAACTCTCAACATGCCGATAAATCACCTTTTTGGCGAGCTTAGAAGGAGCTGACAGCAGACTAATGGGACGGTAATCCTGAGAGAATATCGATCCCACCTTCTTTGGAATCATGATGACCTCAGCCGTCTTCCACGTCGCAGGGAAGTGCTGGGTTCCGAGCATCGCATTGATTATTGTCGCCAGATATGTCAGAGCTTTCGGCGAGAGCAGTTTCAGCGCCTTGTTGGTGATTTGAGCCTCCCCAGGTGCTTCACGCACTTTGAGGTCTTTAATAAGACCTAGGAGCTAGGCTGGAGTGCAATGTGGAACCTCGGAGGGTTCCTCTAATGTGCTATGCGAAGCCTCAGACGAATCTTCTGAAGAAGAGTAATCTGAAAAGGATTCAGTGCCTCCGCTAACGCCGTTGGCCCTTGAATATATCCTGACGGATTTTCTAACGTGTTGTTCCTCGTCGAGGTCATTATCAAGATCATAGTTGGGAGAGAACTGTTTTTCCATGGCGTCAGCGAAAACCTCGACCTTATCTTCTGTTCTGAAGAGAATGCCTTCAGGACCGTGGATGTGCGGGAGTTGTTCTCGCTTTCCGTTTTTGAGTGACTTTGCGACCCTCCAGAGAGGAATACTTGAATCAAGCATTCCCGCCAGAAAGTCCCTCCATTGCCCATTACGGAATTCATGGAGCGCGTTTCTCACTTCATGGCCAAGATTCGTAGCCCTACGAATCTCATCAGGATGGCAAGATCTTGTTGCTTAATAGCGGCTCTCTTGTCAGAGATTTTCTGACGAATGTCCGCGGGCAAAAAAGGTCTGCCGTGCAGTTGTACAGAAAGTACTGCTGCACCCTGTAGAGTTGTTTGAATGAAACTTGTCCACTCCGCTTGAGCGGCATCTACTCCAGTCTCATCATCTATGATCGGGATATTGGGAAATTATTTAAGGAACAACTTGTGTAGCTCCCAGTCAATACGTTTTCTTAGAGGAGCTTCTTCCTCAGAAGTTTGCTCATTGCCTACATCTAAGACAACAGGTAGATGATCACTAGAGATATAATACAATATTCGAGAAGAGATCTACAGTTTTTAGATATCGCGAAGTCAATGACATCTGGTGCCTGAAGATGGTTGAATGGATGGTGTGTCGGCTCTTGAGTGCTATGTATAAGGTACCCATTTCGTTTCACATGTTGTATAGTCGAATACCACTCGTGGAATTCAACCTGGAATTCCATGCTCGATGTTTGCAGTTGAAGTTTCCTGCCACAATAAGTGGACCCAAGTAGTACATAAGGACTTCCAGATCCGCCTCTTGTAGCCTGGGACCACACCTGACATACACCGATGTGATCTTCAACGGGACACCTCCCGCCATACTGAACACCACATAAGTTGCTTCGATGCTATGATTGTCTGCATTCGTGGCTCTATAATAATCAATACCGCGTTTAATCAGAACTGCTAAACCGCCATCTCGACCATTCAATCTGTCAGCACGAATGAGCTAGACGATCTCCCGGATTAAGCAACGTGTCATGCAGCAAGGCTACATCTATACCGTCATCCAAAAGAGCTTGATGAAATTCCCGTTTTTTAGGAATGTCCCTTAGGCCCAAACAATTCCAAAAAAGAATTTTGAGAAATACAGGCTGTCTACTTTTGTACCTAGGTATTTACAAGAAAGATCGCCTGCAAAGCTTGAGCAGCGCTAATGAATGGACTTACTATTTGTTGTAAGGACCTCAGCGCGGTTGTCAGGTCCACATTTTGCGCGTTCAAGGGAGGTTGGGCAGAGAGGCAGACAAGGTTGCTTCCCTAGCTGCGTATGACAGGCTGCGCCTTTGCGCTATAACTGCAAATTCCTCCTTGGAGTGAACTTGCAAGTCGGGCTGTTTGCGGGATGGCCTTCTCCACAGTTTGCACACCGGCGCTCTTCCTGTCCTGTGAGGGGGCACAAATGCGTCATGTGGTCCTTTGCACATTTTAGGCATTTGGGTGGTGCAGTGCAGTATGAATGCGCATGCCCGTACTTTTGGAAGCGGTGGCACTGCCCAATCAGTCTGGAGTTCTTCTGAACCTCAACTCGAATGGCCAGTCCCAGCAGTTCGTGTTCACTGAATACTTACTGGGACTTTTCATTCTTAGGCAGAGTCACGACCACCAAAGGCATGGGCGCACCGCCACTGCGCCTTAATCGAATAATATGGAATCTCAGAATCCGAAAAGTTGACGGGAACTCCCCCAACCACCGCGTGGACGTTCCGTTCCGAAGAGAGAGAAAATGTGTGATGGGGCACTTCTTCCTCTCGGAACAGTCGAACGATCTTACTATAGTCTTTCTCAGATTTAGGAATAATCCTCATTCCCGCATCAACGCGATCTATTTTAATGCCTAGGGAAATGAATTTGTAGTTTAACGTACGCCACCTCGCCCCATCACGCAGAACAATAGGCGTTACGCGCCTTTTGGCGTGAAGGTTGGCTTGATGCCACGTCGGCTGAGCGAGATGGCTGAGAATCTGACAATGGTATCATGAAGAAAATCTAAAAAACATCAAAAAAAAACGGCAAAATGTCATCCTGCTGACTAGATAGTTTTCACGGTGCAAATAGTTCATATGATCGCTTACTATGTGGGAATATTATAATGCCAATGAAGTATATTTAGTAGCTGTGCCCGACGGTTTTTGAAGACAGTTTACGTTCGAAGTTATAAATTACAATTTTTCCCGTTTTTTGTGTTTTCGAAAACGATGAGAAGCATTACGGGAAATCGCGCCCGCGCCCGCGTTCTGAGCAATCAAGCCACATCGCAGACAAATTAGGAATGACGCATCACACATCATTTTCGCAGTGTCTCACATTTAGGCGCTGATTTGCATTTACTATTGATATCGCAAAATAAATTTATATAAAATTTAAATGACTGGAAATAAAAAATAATGTAATAACCTTTTCACTTTCATAAATATTCCTGTCTGTAGGATATTTTCTCACCTGTTACTTGGAAAACCAGAGATTTTCCTTTCTTATCTCTCTCATTTTTGAAATCCAGCAAATTTGCATATGTAATTACCAGAATGATTAAGAAAAAGTGGATGCGCAACTGATTTCTATCTTTGAATCTCAAGAAAGTGTATTTGAGACAAGACACCAATGGAATTATCATCAATACATATTACTAGCACACAAATTCTCACTATGCACCTATGCACTGCCGATTCCTTCAAGCTATAGTATACAACTTATACATTAGAGCTTCAAAAATTCCATCTCTGAAGCATACTTTACATCACATCAGAGCCAAATATTGATAACAGAAGCATCATGACGTTTAGGCAATGCGTACAACTACAAAACGAATTCACCACAAGTGTTCATCAGCTAGTGCTAAGTTAACATCTTGTAGAAAAACCTACGTTATGTAACAAAAAACTTAAGTTATGTCAAAACAAAACCGAAAAAATGTCACTTTTCAAGATACGTAATACATTTAACATTTCGTAGGTTTTTTGTGACATAACGCAAGTTTTTCTATAAGATGTTCTTAGCATAAGCTGTTTTACACTTGTGAGCTCATTTTGTATCTGTACGTATTGGTTAAACGTAGGCGACCGGTGAGTGAGTGAGAGAGCAAACGTGTAATGAACTATTTGCACACCAAAAACTATCTAGTCTGCAAGATGACATTTCGTCGGTTTTCTTTTTGACGTTTTTCAGGTTTTTTACATAATACCCCTGCCGGCAGAACAATATTGCCTGTTTAGAAGCGCCGTAGTATAGATCGGGAGACGTACTTAAGTACCCTTGTTCATTAGATACAACCTACATTTTAACCGACTGTCTGATGCTAAAAAGCTTAAATTTGATAAGGTTATTATATCTGAGTATTTTTTTGCAACAATAGTGGACTAACTTAATCACCAGACCCCTGGCATAGAGTACTTGTTAAGAGTATGCAAAGCAAGTACCAATTCCATGGGTTTCCGTTGATTTATTAGAGAGTTTCTTCATCTCATAATAATATTGCATTCTCATAGCATACAGCAGACGTCCGCCATATTGGATTTAGAATGTCGTGTGGTATTTCTTTCATCGAGGTCTTTCAGTTGATGTTGATACCCATGTCATAGGGGTGACTATGAAAAATATTAAAGGCCGTTTCGTGGCAGGCGCCATTTTCGCTTAGAATTACGTCACTCTGCTTATTCTGCTTCCTTCATCAAGCTCTTTTATTCGATACTCGTAGTATAATAGTGACTATGGAAATTTTAGTTTGCGATTTTTCGGCGGCTGCCATATATATTATATTTGGAATGACATCACGTTGCGCTCATTGTGTTTCTCTCAGCAAGCCTATATTCATTTGATACCATATCATAAGAGATACTAGGGAAATGATAAATCACCATCTGTACCATCAGTCATATTGCATTCGAACTAGTAAAAGCTAAAACATTGTCTTTTGTTGCGCGAATCAGACGTGTATACAAAATATCACCTGAATTGGTTAAGGTTAGTTCAATTTTAGAATGTATCCCACTACGTTTCTATGTTTCCCATTTATTTTTCTAATATACAGCTTTTCAGACGCTCGTCTACCGTTTTCAGCTTTATGATTTTGCAGCACTGTCAACTAGTGCCCAGAATGCAGCGTGACTTTTCTTCTTTGCCACAACGCATTGTGGTCGTATGCTCCTACCATTACAACCGCGATACGAATTTCGCTAGATCTTTGAGCATAACACATAATATGGTTTCTTATTTTCTGTGAACTCTGGTTTTTATCTGTTTAGGTTAAGATTAGGATGGCTTACATATGTATCTCTAAATTGATCACCAGCTATAATCCTTACGAATGGGTCAGCCAATCCTGTCTTGTCAAAGCCACTTGTAATTCGACCTTGGAAGATATGCGCCCTTATTGTGAAATTCTGGAAATATACATTATTTTAGTCGGCGCAGACAAATTGGCTAGCTAGATCGACCCCCTTAAATAATAGTAATATATATAACCCCATCAATAATGACAATAACAATAATCAAATCATTAGAGTTATTTGCTGAGCAGGAAGCATTTATGTTGTTTAAAACACATAGCTTGACATATAGACTTGATATTGCGCAAACATAGCCTATTAAGATCAACAGCATTCAGTAAAGGGGTCAGGGACAGAGAATAGCAATGGACTCTCGCATTTTTCCCCATTGTCAACGTTTATTGTTGTTTTTTTTGATAATTTTTAACTCTTCTCTATTATCCTTTATTTAAAGTTGACTGTTTTAGTGTTGTCAAAAACGTATGAAGGTACAGACCGTCTTTTCTTGTGCTATGCAATAAAGCGGCAAAGAGTCCAGGTCAGCACTAAAAATGAATCCCTTTGGCAATTGTTCAATCGCTTCTGCCTTGTGTTTGTCCAGAAAAAGTATAACCAATACTTCCATCTTGCATACTAGGGTAGTGGGATGGTCGTACTCCTAAAAAGGAACGTTATATATCAATACGAGCTAATATAGCCCATATGCACATACACAGTCCTCTCTTGCAAAGTTGTATAGAAAATCATGCACACTTTTTCATCGCTCAGCCATACCTGCTGGTCCAATGGTAGCCAATTCCATAAATGTGTTGTTATAAAGTGCAAGTCTTCTTGACTACTTACAGTTAAAATAAAAATGTTGCATAGTTTCGTGGAAACTAATTTTGCATGTGCACATGATGGATTCGTCACATTTACACCGGCGGTTGCTGACTCAGTGTGGTAAATGTCACTGGTGCGGGTGATTCCAAAATTCAGGCATAGGTGCATATTGACTACGAAATTTGCGTCCCATAGGGGAGGCTTGACATTTTTGTTTTGCTTTTGCAGTTTTGAGCTAGTTATGATGATGTTACCACTGTGTGTCGACCAGTGTATTTAATGTCGAAGGCGCCTTGCCGTCATATATCCACTATAACTTTCGCACTGCCAAGATAATTTGGCTATGAAAGATCGATCACGTTAGAGTTAGATGTCAAAGTTGTCATAGCGTTTGTGTGTATGACGGAAACGCGACATCGAAATTCATTTATAATTAGGCTCCTGTTATCAGTCTTCACCGAAAGCTACTTCACACTTTCATAGTCCAACAATCATCCAACTAGGATTGAATATTTTGAGGCGGAGCGTCAGTTTTTGTTTGCATATTGGCGAGAAGTTAGAAAATCATAATATTAAAACCTAATCCAGAAGCCGCTACTCTAATCAGAAAACAATTTAGTGGAAAAGTCGACCATCTAGTTAAAGCTGCCAGTAGTTGACCACAACGTCAAGTATCTCTTATGATAAGTAGGATTGACGTCTCTAATCCTGATTTGTGGGGTTAAGTACGTTCCGCTTCAAGCAACTTTGGTCTTCTGTGTATTTGTTAAAATTGAACACATTGACTATTCTTTCATGACTTCCTGGATTTTATCGAGGAACAATTTTTAAATCATTCCCCTAGGTAATCCACTCCTGATACATGGCGGTTTGTTTATAACTGACAGAATTTTGCACTTGTGTATAGATTGTGGACATTTCATGGTAAATGTGATTCCTTCATACAACCACGGTAACGTATGCAATAAGCATATTTATACCGTGAAACATATGGTCCTCTTCAAACCACACCAAAGTCCCTTTTCTTCTTCTACAGATGAATATATTATATCTCTGGCAGGTACTCGAAAGAAAGCCACCTTTCTGTTGTTGTACATCAACCACAGGAACATATCGGGTAGAAGTTCTTGTCCCTGCAAATCTATGCATCAATTACCCAAAGATCTGTATGCAGTGATGGGCTCATTGTGTACATCATCTAAAATACACCATTATGTATTCATAAACAATTTTAAACTTAATCTTGGGCATAAAAAATAGAGATGTACATCCTTCTCATCCAACTCATCTTAGAGAATCATTAGAATCTTTGAGAGCTGTTGGAAAATTCCTCCGCAATCAAGTTTATTAACGGTTCACTTTATAACCCAACCGTTTCCTTCTTCTTTATATTATTAATCATAATATTAATAAATAATATACAGAAAAGTAACTCTAATAACTCCAATAATGCTGTTTAACAGTTTCAAACAGTTGCTGATTCTAGTAGCACTTGTTCATTTATAAATCTTAACCTTTCATTCAAGATCTTACTACCTAGACTAGTGTATCCTTTTTTAAACCAAAATTGCAATGAGAACTATATGGACTATATCAGTCATTTTTCCAAAATTAAAAACACCAACTATGTTGATGGCTAAGTTCAATTCAATAAGTGCAATTGTTCCTATACTGGCCAAACTTCTAGAACACTGAAAAGACGCATTACGTCTCATAAAAGTGATATTTCACGTAATATTAACAGCCGCGGTCTTACACAATTGAGACAGGAAGTAAATTCAATTTCAGTAGTGCCAATGTTTTGGATATTCAATAGGTTCTCCATAGGAGACTTTTTCTAGAAACCGTTCATATCAATATTATTGTCGCAATCATCTACACCTACATTTTGGCATTGAAAGATGAGAGATTTACGAGAATTCCACTTTACCAAGATTACTCCTTTTTAACTACTGAGATACAGAACAGTACATGTGGTGGAAAAGATAACCTGTATAACATAAATAAAAATCAGTATAAATATAACAGTTCATATAAATGTTTAAGTCTATCTTTACGAGCCCAAGGTTGTTAATTCCATATACTCACTAATGTTATAGAATGCATTTTATGCTAATATTTTTTTAACTTGATTTTCTAATAGAGAATGAATACTGATTAGCTCAATTTCAACTGGTAAGTTATTATATAATGTGATGCAGTTATAGTAGGGTGAGTTTTTGAAATGTGTTGTGGTATGTGTATGGATGATTTTTAGATTTTGATTTCTAGTATTACAATTATGATTGATTAATGAGTTATTTCCATAGTATGTTGACAATAGTGATTCAATAGATTATTTTCTCATAGCCAACCACCTAATTCTATTGGCTAGGTTGCTTCCTCTTTAAATAAAGTCCAGCTTTGTTTTACATTGAAGTAAACCATCTACCTAATAGCGCCCTTTTTCTTTGACACCACTACTTTATTAACGAGTTTTCACTATACCTTAACAATAACGATTTTTTGGGTTGTTTCTTGTTGTCAGAATAAACCACCTGGTCCCATTAGTTAGATTTTCTTATTCATTTCAACTAAAGATGGTCTCTGTTTCATCCAGAATAAAAAACTCATATCATTATTCTCCTTCTAAAAGGTTATACCTTCATCAACTATTTTCATTGTATCGTCAACAATGAAGAATAAGTTGTTTTTCTGCATGTTGGACTATTCCCATTAGCTGGTTTTGACTTGCCTTTTTTAGATAGAGTGTTATCTTGGCTTCACTAAAGTTGACCTCTTACGTCAAATGTCCAATCGCAATCAGTCAATAAATTATTCTGATTTTTCGTGTCGGAATTTCACCAACATTTCTTTTCCATAATACCAGCCTTTGATCAACAGATTCTAACTTAGTAGTTGGTTTCTCTATGTAGAATTGAGTCAACCACCTGGTCTCAATAGCTAGGGTTTTACTTGCCTCTTGAGTAAATGTTGTTCTGTTATCCAGTGGAGCAAGCCACCGGTATGGTCAACGTTGTCTTCCCTTAACAGTCTAATCCTATTAGAAAATTTCCCCGAAGTAATTGTAAAGTCTGGTTTTATTGGTGCAAGTAGTTCAAGGGGGTATTTAACATATGGACTCATGAAAGGGGTGCACCAATTTTTGTGGGAAAACTGTTTGTTTCACAAGAAGAATGATACAAAATGTTCTTTTGAGATTCAATCGAAAGTGTTCACAGAACCGAAAAAACTTTTCATATAAGATTTTTAGGTATTTATGAGACCTATAAAATAGGACCACAACAAGAAAATTGTATTATATTGGTCAAGCAGTTTTTTGAGAATTTCTAATTGTTTATCCCAAAATACCTGTTTTCCGGCCATCACTACTGGTTTATTAAACAATATACAGGATTCGTTCAAAGAGCATTCAATAGCATAAATACCTAAAACTCTTATAAAACTCATATAAAATTTTCCTGTCAACACTTTTGATTGAATCCCGTTTTCTCATTCTTTCTTGTCGAATAAGAGGTTTTCCCACATAAATTGGTGTACCCATTTTATGCATCCATGTTTTGAATACCCCTAAGATAACTTCTTTATTAACAAACTTTTTACTATATAACGGGTGATTTTTTAAGAGGTATAGGATTTGATTTCCAAAGAAAACATAAAAAATTTGAAAAAAACAATTAAATCTTTATTTGAGTCGATAGAACGGTCGATATAATTTAATGCTTAAAGATTATTTCATGTAAATGTTGGCCGCGGCTCCGCTTTAGATGGCCCATGCGCAAGGTCCAATTTTGGCATACTCTCTCCAACATATCGGCCGGTATCTCACGAATAAATGCTTCAATATTGGCTTCCAGTGCGTCAATAGTGCTGGTTTATCCCTGTAGACATTATCCTTAACATGGCCCCACAAGAAATAGTCCAACGGCGTTAAATCACACGATCTATGCGGCCAATTGACGGGCCCCAAACGTGAGATAAACTGTTCACCGAACTCGCCTCTCAATAGGGCCATTGTCTCGTGTGCGGTGTGGTATGTGGCACCGTCTTGTCGAAACCACATATCAGCCAAGTCCAGCTCTTCAATTTTGGGCAAAAAAAAGTTTGTTATCATCGCACGGTAGCGATCGCCATTCACAGTTACGTTCCGGCCATTGTTGTATTTGAAGAAATACGGCCCGATGATGCCACCGGCCCATAATCCACACCAAACAGTGATTTTTTCGGGATGCATTGGTAGCTCTTGCAATGCTTCTGGCTGGTATTCACTCCAGATGCGGCAATTTTGCTTGTTAACGTGCCCATTCAACCAGAAATGAGCTTCGTCGCTGAACACAATTTTTCGATTAAAATGTGGATCTTCCTTCAACTTTGCCAGAGCCCATTCACCAAAGTGGAAACGTTGTGGGAGGTCGTGTGGCTTCAACTCTTGCACCAGCTGTATCTTATAAGGTTCTACACCCAAATCCTGTCGCAAAATTTTCCACGTAGTGGAGTAACAGAGGCCCAATTGCTGCGAACAGCGGCGAATCGACATTTCACGGTCATCACTAACACTGGCGGATACAGCCGCAATATTTTCTTCAGTCCTCACTCTACGTCTGCGTATTGGTGGTTTAATGTCCAATAATGTAAACAGGGTTCGAAATTTAGTCACAAGCTTCCGAATAGCTCCCTCAGTAGGCCGACCAAATTGCCCATAAATTGGAAGCAGTGCTCGATGCACTCTCTTAACCGAGTATGAATTTTGATAGTAAAATTCAATAATTAGCAAGCGTTGTTCGTTTGTAAGTCGATTCATGGTTAAATTATAGACCAAACTGAACAGGTTTGACAATGACACAAGACACGATTCACACGTCATCTGTCAAAAACAGTGTTGCCAAAAAGATACTAGCAAAAAAATCACCCATTATATAAGTCGATATGGTGTATGGTTGGACTAATTCAACTGCCTGAATCTTTCCTTTCAGCTTAAATTATTATTCTTTCGCAAAATTCATTGTTGGTTTCTACATCAAATTTGAAGTCATTTAGCAACTGCTAATTATTTTGTTCAAATTTTATAAAGTAGTGATGTGGAAATTAAGTAATTTTATAGTTTTATTTTATATTGATCAATACCTTATTTTGTGGCATGTGCATCTTTGATGTTGTATGTTTTCCGCCGTTCTTTTGTATTGCTCGTCCCGCAAGACGACTTCACCTTGTAAATAGTTTCTTCATTGGTATTGTAATGGTTTTGATTGACATTCAGTATTCTTTGTAGTGTGCCGGATGAAGAAAATAAACGTTTTCGAAAGCTCGACTATAACAAAGATTTACGTTGTTTCTGGCCTGACTTCATTTTGCGTATGGCCGCAACCTCGAGAATTTGTACTTTGTATCTTAGCTAATCAATCAAAACTGCCATCTCCCTCTAAATTGTTTATATATTCAAAGCTATAGTTCTATATAAATTAGAATCATTTCTGAAATAAAACAAAGTACATGCTGGAAACAAGATCTACCCATTTTCCTGATTTCATTCAAAGTCGTCAGCGTTGTCAAAATTCAGATTGGCGAAGCCTTTATCAGTCAAGGGCGAAGAGTAATCCACATGCTCTATTACTACTTTTTCTCACTATACTTTATGTAGAAGTAGAAGTTGGTAAAATACCGCGTCGATAGCCGCATATTACGATACGCCAAAGGTTAACTTACTAATGCGAAACAGTACCGGACTGAATGTTTTTCCATATTTGAACAAAATGAGCCTTAGTTGACCAATCTCCTCATTTTTAGCACACCCAACTATGATGTTCTCATTATTGCAGACTCACTAATATTTTGATGTTTGACAGTAAGCCTCACTCCACTTATGCTATTCTTTATACTTTCTACTCATGGGATACATTGTATACGTATTGTTCACATTGTATATGCATTGCTTACGTCGAAACGTTGACGAAGTATACGCGAAAACGCCCATCACTGTCTACAAGTTGCAATACTTTGATTCTCAAATTACATTTAGTGAAGCATTGCAATATCTCTATTAAGTCGGAGCTCAAGTGATAGCAACCGTTGCTGACAAATCCATAACTATTGTTTGGCGCCAAAATACATCTACCGACGCTACCTCAGGAGTGGC